AGAAAATAGTGGCATGCACTTGTTCCATTCCATTATCACTTTTTATTGGATATTAGATTCTATTCTGCCCAAAAAGTCTGGCCACTACACACCATTGCGTCATTAGACACACCTTTCCATTCCCATCAACATTTACTCATTTCCAATAGACAAGAAAAAAAAAACATTTTTTTATAATTTAAAGTTTAGAAGAATTAAGTTCTTCTGACCCATTTTATTATTGACAATTTTTCTTTTCCCATTAACTATAAATGATTTTATTTAAATCATGGCCTGCAAAAGAAAAAAAAAATGGTTGTTTGAAGTTATCTTTGATGCAAATGTCGTCCACGGATGCATAAGCATATCATCTCTTCTTTTGATTCACCAACAATCCTTTTCATCTATCCAATTAGGCAACCCAAGCGTTGAGTTTTGAACTTTGAACCATATAAGTCGTTTTCTTTTTTTTCAAATTTTTTTGTCTTTGGTATGAACTTTTGCATGAGGCGTGCCTTGACAAAAAACAAATTATTTAATTAAAAATAATATCCCTGAAGTAATCGTTTAAATATATATAAATATAAATTGTTTGGTGTAAATTTAACTTTTTAAAAGTATTCAAAACGTCTAATAACATTTGTTAATGAACATTTTAAAGTTGTCACTTGTCACTAGCCATGGGAGCTTTTATAGGGAAGTTATAAAGGGATTTGACTATTTACCGTTGATTATTCAAAAACATATATGTATTTGAATAAGTTCAGTTTCATTAAATTTCTTAAAATATTGTAATCATTTTAATTTTATGAAAAGTTAAAAGTAATTGTTTATTAAAACTATTTTTCTCTAAAGATATTCTAAAAAGGATAGAACAATAAGTTGTAAAGTATGGCTCAATTCCTATCCAAGCATATATGCCCTCTGTTTCAATCTTTTTGGATAAGAGAATCGTTAAATAATACGAAAGGGACTTGTAAAATGATTCAGAAATAAAGGGAAAAAAATGGTTATATTTTATACTTATCCATGAGTACTTTTGGACACAATAAAAATGTTTTTGTATTGAATAAGGACAAAATATTAGACAAAATTCAAGTGGGTAAGTGGACTGTGTCCAAAGCCCACATGTTGGGATTTCTAGATGCAGTTGTTTTGGTGTGTGATGACTTGAGAAGGCATGAAATGACGCCGTCCTTTTGGGAGTTCAACTTATTTTTCTCACCAAACTGAATATTAATAACTTTGGTCATGTAGTTAGGGAAATAAAATGAAAGAGAAAGATTTTTCTGTTTAAAAAAAAATGTGGTTGAAGCATTCTTCCATGGCACAAGACCTGGTAGATATGGGAAACAAAGAGAATTTAACTTCGATCACCGGTTAGAATTGAGGTGCAAAATATCTAACCTTCCTAGTTTGTAGTCGACAAAGGAAAACAAAAAATGGAATGAGAGTGAGAGGAAATGATATATATATATATATATATATATATATATATATATATATATATATATATATATATATATATATATATATATAAAAGCTTTTATATGGAAGCTATAAATTATTATATGAAAAATTAGATTTTTTGACGGATAAAATCTGTTAGTAATTAAGAAAATTCGTCGATAAATATATATTATTGATTAGCAAAAATACATTGATAATTATGTTATCGATAAATATTACTGACATATTTGAAAAGTTCATCAGTAAATAGACACATTTTTATTTATTTATTTATGTATAAAATAGATAATTATTTATTTATGGATTTATCAATTGATATATCTTTCGGTAATTAATTATTCATTTATCGACTGATATATTCGTTGGTAATTAATTGTTTATTTATGGACGGATATACCGTCAATAAGACCAAATTCCACAAATATTTTAAATCTGTTGATAATCACTTATTTTCTCGACAACTATATATCTATCGATAAATATCCATCATTTTTCTTGTAGTGAATAAAGAAAATATGTGGATACTTTTTTCTTATTTTGAAATAAAAACGAGAGAAAGATTTATAAAGATTAAAGAGAAAATATTCCTATTTATTGTATACTTTTTTTTATTTGATATATATATATATATATATATATATATATATATATATATATATATATATATAATTTCTACACAAGTTGTAACCTACCAAATGTTAATCATGCATCACAATAACAATAGTTATCAATAGTTTGTTTTTAATTTTTATTTCTAGGTAAACTCATATATATATATATATATATATATATATATAATAATAATAATAATAATTATTATTATTATTATTATTATTATTATTATTATTTATCTTCTAACAAGAAACTAACTAATGATTTTAGTGATTTTTTCTTAAATTCCTTTTTGATAATCATATACATTTTAGTAGTAAGTACTTGTTCAATTATATATGGAAATGTATTTTCATATTTGAAAATAAATAACGTTTTAACTGTTTTTACTATATCCGACAGTGTCATGTTACGAAGAAATAACAATAAAAAAATAATATTCATCACTTACATTCGAGTATAATTATCATCTAATAAAATATATCATGATAATCAAATTTTAAAATGATCTAAGTTCATCTTGTTCATAGAAATTTTAAAAAATAATATATATTATTTTAATATTAACAAATTTAACTTATTTCAAGAGCGTGTAACTCATATTAGAATAATATATTTTTTTAAAGAAATTTTCGAAACAACTCTCACTATAGATTGAAATATACTATAATTAATCTTTGGCTTCAAAGTTGAAATAATGCTGACATAATGGCATACTCAATAAATATGTTGTCAAGAGGATAAAATTCCTGAAACACTGTTCAAATTGAGTTTGAAAGCCAACAACGTACAAAGAAAGGAGTAATATAAAGGTTACTTTCCAATTTACAAAAATAGTAGAATTTTCTCAATACAACACAATTTGAAATAAAATTTAACTTTTTAAAAAATGTTAGGTGGAGAAGAGAAATCATATTTGAAAAATTTGCTCTTGCGGTGTAAGGGAGAATAATTAAACTCATACATATTTTCTCGAATTTAATGCAGAAAAAAAAAAAACCAAGTTAATCGGGGATGGAAGTGAGTTTAAATTCTTCCCGATTTAAAAGGTCAAAGATAAGAGTAGAGATGGAAATGCAATTTTCACTCTTGTTCTGGTCTTGCTCGATTTTATATTTAAATTTAAATTTAAATTTAAATTTTAAAATATTAATAGTTTAAAAATATTTTATTTTCTTTTTTATTATATATAAGATTATTTTTATATATTTCACCATTTTTATTTTATTTTCTATCCATTTTTTAATTCTTTTATTTTTTAACATTTTCTATTAATTAATTTATTACTTTATTCTCTCTCTTATTTTTCAGTTTTTCATATTTTCTTAAGTTTTTTAATCAATTTTTTTTTCAATCTTTTCAACCAATTTGATGAACACAAAGTTGATTTTTTTTTCTTTCTCTTTATTTTTTTCTAAATATTTTACATAAATCTTATCAATTTGATGAATACAAAATTTTTTTTTCTTCCTCTTTATCTTTTTCTAAGTATTCACATAAATCTTGGAAGTAACTAATATTTACTATAAAATTTATATTGATTAGATTTTATTATGTCATATTTTTTTGGATCTTATTATTCTTATTTATCATATATCAAAAATTTTATCTCAATAAAATAATTATATTTTAAATAATTAAAAAGAATTGATAATTTAAATTTTTATTATTTAAAACTAATTAAAAAAGACTTAACTTATTAAATTTTTTCTTATAAATTATATATTTCATATTTTTAAATGATAATTTAAAAATGAATTATATGTATTATAATAATAATAATAATAATAATAATAATAATAATAATATAAATATTCAAATGTTTGAATATACTATTATAATAATAATATTATTATAAATATTTTTTATATATAAATAAAAATTAATTAAATAATTTGTTGACATGTATATTTTAATATAAATATAATAAATTAAAAATATTTATTTATGTATAAAAAATACATAAAAAATAATAAAATTAATTTATTATAAATATAAATATATTTTTTAAATAATATAAATTGAGATGAATACAGGAAAATTTAAAATCCAATAAAAATAAAAACTTAATTTTCAACCCAACAAAAATCATTAAATAGTTAAAAAAGTTGCGAGGGAACGAAAGAAAACCCGTCCCACCATGCCTAGAGACATCAATACAGTTTTTGACCAACATGTCTCAATAATTCACTAATGAGAATTGAGAATGCGGCAACTTCTTTAAACGTCTATTTCATGTTCGAAATTATTTATTTATGTAAAAAAACAATAAAAAATTTGCACACCAATAATACGTTAGACAATAAAATGTGCTTATTATTCAGACTTATCAGAAAGAGCTTTTTTTTTTCTAACTACCGCTATTAGAAATCAAATAAGAAAAATAAGTTTGCCAGATTATAGCATGTCAAAAGATTGCGTTTTGCTAAAGTACTAAATAGATCAACACAAAGTAGTTAATGCGTTTTTAACAAAATTGTTTGAAGCCCAACGCCATATTCTTTGGCAGTCGACGTTCAAAGAACATGGATTTGTTATGAAGCTTAGCAAGATTAGGCAATTAAATTTGCAGCTTTGGTTTTCTGGTCTTCAGTGGCTTGGCTTTAATTTCTCATGACTTCTAGGCATTGAAGAGGAAAGCTAAAGGGGTATATTCGGAGATATAACTTGATGAGAGAATGTCACCGCAATAACTCTCTTATGTAAGAAGTGAAAGGATGACAAAGTGTTTGGGCATTCGGAGAAAATGAATTTATAAAATTAGACAATTTAAAATCGCAATCCGAACACTCATATTTTAAAATTTAAAACTTGGTCATAAAATAGAAAAAAACAGGAAACTAAAACAATACAACCCTAACATGAAAAACAAATTCCCCCATTCTAAAACAACAAAATGGAAAAAACATGAAAAGCAACCTCAACCACCATTACACAAATTAGTCAAACAGACTGAAACCCATGTCATCATCAGATTCTTCGGCTGGCTCTTCCTTCTTTTCCTCTACTTTGGCTGCAGCAGCTGGAGGACCCGAAGCAGCAGCAGGGGCAGCAACAGCAGCTACAGCAAATTTACTAGGGTCCTGCATTTTAAATAAAAATTTATAAACAAAAGAAACAAAAAACAAAACTGTAGATAATCAAAACGTCAAAATTATTACCTTAAGATATTCTTTGACCTTGTCTGCCTCTGGGAAAGAATAATCTGTCTCAACAGCAATAGAAAGGACATTCTTATAGGCATTCACAAACATATGTGGGGCAGCTGCAAGTGTTGGGAATGAGATGGCCAACGAAAGAGAAGTAACCATGGAAACACCGGCGGCAAACTTCTCAATGAGGTCATCCTCGGTAAGATCAAGGACCTCAGGGCTAAATACAGACCCATTATCATAGACGGAAAGAACCACAAGCCCATATGAGAAAGGTCTTATGCCAAGTTTAGCAAGCAATGCAGCTTCAGAAGATCCAACCTTCTCTCCCTTCTTAATGAGTTCCACAGGGGTAATGATTTCCACAGTACCCTTGTTAATCTTTGTTGGAATATTCAGAACCTAAAACAATAGAGCATAATCACATAATCCACAATAATAATAATAATAATAATAATAATAAAGAACAGCATAAGATTTTAGTTTCTATTACTGTATGTTTTCTCACATTCTGGGCTTGCACTTTGGTCCCGTCTTTTTCATATTAGAAAATAGTTTTAAGAAATCACCAACCTGGAAGAAAGAGGTCTGAGATGGATCAAGACCCGTGTTGCCAGGAGGAACAACAACATCAATTGGGGCAACCAACCCAACGCGAGCAGGAGCTCCAACCTGTTCAGGTTGAATACAATTTGGGCGAACATTCAGTTAAAATGAAAACACAAACACTAGGACAACATTTGCAGAATATAGAAATATAAAACTGAACTAACATCTTAACATCTTGAACAAAACCTTCTTGAACAAAATTCAATGGTCATAACAGGGAACCAATTGTTCATAAATAAAACTAAGAACAACACATTGTAATCACGAAGTATTTCAAAGCATGATAATATAATAATGAAAAAAATAAGTACTGCACTTAATAGATACAATCCATAAATAGTTAAGCTTTGTTTATGCAAATAAAAGCAGTATCATTATCTAATACAGAATATAATAAAAGAAAATAAAATAAAAATATCAGTTTACCTTGTACTTAGCAACCTCCTCACTGACCTCCTTCAAGTCACCCTTGGTGAAAATCAATCCCACATTGCCCTAATTCAACGCAAACCAAGTTCTCTCATCCAAGCGATTAAAACACTAAAACTAGTTTCTATTATTTGAACATAACACGCATATAGACAACGGTAAAACTTCAAAAGGATAAGGAGAAGGGGAAACTCACGACAAGGAGGGGGATTAGGTTGAGATATGCGTTGTTGCCTGTTTTCTCTGCGTGTATCCTGACGGAACGCTTCATCATCGTGTTTTTCCCCATGAGGACGACGGAGTCGCCGCGGAGGCCTTTGCGGATGTTTTGGAGCTGGTTGGATCCCACGTTATCCGCGTTCACCACAAGGATTTGGCCGTATTCTTCCAGAAGCTGGCAGAGCTTCCCATCGTAAGCGATCTTTTTCTCTGCCTTGGTTTGTTTAGGTGCCATTGAAGATGATGCTGATGACTATGTTGTCTCTGACCGGAAGTTTTGCACGGCAAAATCGAGGGCCAAGACGAAGCTCTGGCTTGGTCAAGGCGGACAGCAAAACGGTGCCGTCTCTTTAACCTCTTCTTCGTTGAGGTATTCTGCAGATGAGTGAGGCAAAGAAATGGATGCTAGTTGAAGAAACAGCGAAATAGTGAGTTTAGTATAAGTAGTATATTAGGGTTTTTGAGAAACCTAAATCCCACGGTTCTGATTCATTCTACGTAACGAATCGGACGGCTCGTGTTTACACAGGCCCAATGGGCTTCAATTAAAATTGTTTTGAGATGGTTTTTATTTTAGGGTTGGTAGTGGACGCTATTATCTGCATTCCTGTTTTTTATTATATGCTATTGTTGACATGTCTTTCGAAAGAAGTAGTTTTGGTAACATAAAATCATATGAAAGTTAGTTTTTGCACTGTGGTTAACTTTTCAGTATTTGTGTTTAAGATTAATTTTTTAATAGAATATCCATATATGAATGTATTCATTCTTCAAATTTTGGTCTTTCATTTTTTTTTCTAATGATTTTAATAATTGAATAAATGAATGTCTTTAATTAATCAAAATTTTGTGTTTAATTTTTTTTAATAATTTTAATAGTTCAACGATGAAAGAAGCAAAACAATAATGTGAATAGTCAAACGATTTAAATAATATTGATCAAACTTTTATATTTTGTTCTGGAATAAAAGTGAGATGATTCATTTTTCTTAACCTACTCCCTTTTTATCTTTTTTCTCTTACAACTATGTAGTTTGTTTTTATTGTTTCCCCTATTATCAGTCCCGATACCGCCTAATTCTAACCACTTTGGTAGGCTCAGACCCATTAGGTAATGATTTAGCTCAGTCTTCCTATATGGACTTATTCGGCCCACTATCAATACTTAGAATTTAGGCTCCAACGGGCCCAAACTCTATTAACGCACCACAACCTCCTAGTCTTGTATTAGAAAGATATTCTAATGCAAAGACTAAAATCGAAATGATCGAAATGAAGGTTTCATCGATCTTTTTCCCTTAAGCGTAGCTAATCTTGACTATAATTGGAAATATCCCAAAGTATTGAATGTGTATAATGATCTTTGTCTTCTTGGTCCTACCTCAACCAATTCCTATGTTATTTGACTTGGTCTCTAATTTTCAAATGTTTCATCTTCCAAAAGCAAATGTCATATCACCTGACGTATTACCCTATACTTCAAATTTCACGCCTACGCTTTTTACTTCGCTTTTCTATTTACCCTATTTTGTTCTTCCAATACGCTTCATTTCCCTCTTCCCTTTGTCTCTTCACTTCGCGCAGCTCTCAACCTTTTAGACTTTCGTTCATCACCGAATCTACTCCGGGCCTTTTAGGTATTGCTTCCCATTTCTCTCAGTCTCTTAATATTGCATAATACTTCTGTTCACCGTTCGTCTTTGTTTTCTGCGTTCCTATTGCGTCGTGATTATTGAAAATTTTCCCACACCATTAATGTCGCATTCTTCTTCCCCTAGCACAAGCTCTAGTAGCTTGGATAATAAGTCTCTATACCCTTGGGCCAAATCTAATGTCTTAAATGAGTTCACCATTTATTCTAGCGGTAAGAAGCTCAAACTATTTAGGAATATTCAAGGTTTAAGTCGTTTTGGCGAAGAAAATAGTGTTCTAGTAGAAGTCTGTGAGGTTGATGAACCTGTCTGTAGAAACCAGGAATCAGACCCAAATCCTTTCTTTTTTATGTATGATACTCTTTTTATTAAGTTAGGAGTTCGCTTACCTTTTGATGACTTTAGTAAATCAGTACTGACTACTCTTAATGTGGCCCCAACCCAACTCCATCCTAATAGCTGGACTTTTATTCGAGGATTTTCCATATTATGTAAACATTTCGGTTTTGAACCGAATATTTCTATGTTCTTATACTTCTTTGAATTTCGTATTTCTAAACGGACCTCTTGGGATCCATAAGTAGTGTAGGGGGTCGAGCGCCTTTTATCTTTGTTCCAATCATCATATAAATATTTTTAAAGTAGATTTATAAATATTCGAGCTCCTGAAACCCATAAAACACTACTAGAGGGATTTCCCCTATATTGGATCGACAAACTTTATGGCCAAATACCCCTTGCTTTGGACGAGCTCTCTCCCGAAGATGTCAAAAATTGCACCTTACTTGATGAGTTACAAACGATTTTCGATACTACCCAACTTCTTAAATTAGAAGGCCGACCAGTAAACTTAAGACTTTGTATAGGTATAAAATTCTTTTCCCATTTTCTTTGACTCTGCAAAAACTGTGTTAGTCTGTAATAATGGCTATTTCGATGCAGAAAAACAAATGTCTTTATCCAAGAAAACTCTTAACCGAATAATTCGAGCTTTAGAAGGTAGAGAAAGTGAAGTTGGTAACAAAAAGGAAAGCAGTACAGGTTCGAAGCATGAGAAGGCATTAAAAAGAAAACGTGATGATACTCAATCAGTTCCAGTCATCAAATCGGGGGAAGTTATGACTGAAGCCACTAGTCCTCCTCAACCTCTAGCTGATTACCAAGGCGATAGCTGGCTTGGGGGATCTTTAGCCCCTGACCACGGGACTTTAAATGGTATGTCTTCTTTAGAGTTGACTCGTTTAAGTCAAGCCGCTGCAAAGAAGACAATGGCATTGCTTGATATACTAGAACAACGAGCTCGAGATCAAGAAGGTAAAGAAAAAACAGTAGAAGATAAACTTAATCATACTCAAGTCCAGATGCAGACCCTAAAAGACGAACTTAGCCAATTACAAGATCGGTTCCATCAACTAGAAAGAGAACGAGATGACGCTATAGAAAACGAGAAAAAAATATAAGGTCCTTTTGGAAGAATCGGAACACAAGGTTTGTGAGCGCAACCAGAAAATCGAGGATCTAAACATTCAAATAAAAGATCAGGCCCGACAGATTGAAGATTTATCTGATGACTGTGCTAAAATGTTCAAATCGGGCTTTAGCAATGCTTTGGATCAAGTTAAGGTCATCACCCTCGATGTTGATTTGTCTCTAGCTGACCCTGTTAAGAGTGTGGTGGATGGTATGATTATGGAAGAAGACGATGAAGATGAAGATGAGGAGGATGAAGAGAATGAAGAAGAAGAAAATGAAGACTCCAGCACCTAATTCCTTACATTAAGTACTTGGTTTATGTTGAGGGTGTCTATTTTGTAATTGGAAACAATTGTTGTTTTGTATCCACTACTTAAACCAAACTTCTGTTTTATGAATGCCATAGATTTATTATTGCTAAAAGATGAGTCGTCCCTTAATCTATTATAAGTGCAAAGTATGTACGGATTGCGTAGTAGTGCGGATTGCGCACGTAGTGTGGATTGCACACATTGCCCAGATTTTGAGCGTAGTACGGATTGCGTATGTAGTGCGGATTGTACGCACGTAGTGTGGATTGCACACGTAGTGTGGATTACACACATTGCCCGGATTTCGAGCGTAGTACATATTGCATACGTAGTGCAGATTGTGCACGTAGTGTGGATTACACACATTGCCTGGATTGCGAGCATAGTACGGATTGCATACGTAGTGCGGATTGCGCACGTAGTGTGGATTACACACATTGCTCGGATTGTGAGCGTAGTACGAATTGTGTACGTAGTGTGGATTGTGCACGTAGTGTGAATTGCACACGTAGTGTGGATTACACACATTGCCCGGATTGTGAGCGTAGTAATATAACATGTAAAAAATGTCTGAAGGGACCTTTTTATTGATATTGTTGCCTCGTTAAAAACCTTGAAAGAAAAACCTGAGTGTTCTGTAAAAAACTTTTAAGGAAAAGAGTACAACTTCAGGCCCATCATTAACTATAATAGAATCGCAAACTTGATGCATTCCATGTCCTCGGTATCGAGCCCCCATATGTGGTTTCTAATCGATAAGCACCTTTGCCAACAACATCAGTTATACGATAAGGTCCCACCCATGCTGGAGAAAGTTTATTGTGCATCTGATTCAACTGAGCACGCTTCATAACCAAATCACCTACCATGAACTCTCGACCCCAAACCTTCTGAATGTGTTGCTTTTCACATCTGCGTTTCAACATATAAGACCAGATTCGAGTGTTTTCTCGAACTTCTTCAATTGTGTCCAGGTTGACTTGTATTTGTTGAATAGATTTATCTTCATTGAATCCTTGCACCCTGGAAGATGGATAAATCAGTTCTACCGGAATGATGGCTTCGGTCCCGTATACTAATCGAAAAGGCGTTTCTTTGGTGGTTGATTGTGGTGTCGTGTGATAAGACCAAAGAACACTTGGTAACTTTTCTACCCAGAACGTTTTAATCTCTCCCAGTCTGCGTTTGAGGCCATTAAGAATTACTTTATTTGCTGCTTCAACCTGTCCATTGGTTTGTGGATGTTCTACTGAAGTAAAAATTTGATGTATTTTAATGTCTTGACAGAAGGCTCCGACCTTGGTACTAGCGAACTGTGTCCCATTGTCCGAAATTAAAGTGTGGGGCAATCCGTATCTGTAAATAATGTGTTGCCACAAAAAACGACATATTTTATCTGCTGTGATAGTGGCCACCTGTACTGCTTCAATCCATTTTGTAAAATATTCTATGGCTACAATAAAAAACTTAAGCTGTCGAACTGCAACTGGAAAGGGTCCCAATATGTCAATTCCCCATTTACAGAAAGGCCAGGAGGCCGTTATGGAGTGTAAGGGTTCGGGGGGTGCTATATGAAAATTTGCATGTTGTTAGCATTTGACACATTTCTTGACATATTGCATACAATCATGTTATAGTGTTGCCCAGTAATATCCTGCTCGAATCACTTTAAATGCTAAAGTCTTACCACCTATATGACTTCCGCATATGCCTTCATGAATTTCTCTTACAATAACTTGAGCCTCCTCTTCTGTTAGGCATTGCAGTAGTGGTGTAGACACTCCTCTCTTGTAGAGAATTCCTTCGATCAACACAAATTGTGTAGCTTTCCTTTTAAGGGCCATTTGGGCTTCCTCTTCTCTCGGTAAAGTCGCGTTGGCTAAATAGTCTTTCAACGGTGTCATCCAAGTATAATGTTCATTAACACATAAAATTTGTGAAATCTCACCTTCCTTATTATCGGTGGTGACGCTGGGGTGATTGAGTGTTTCTTGAATAACCGAAGTGTAGTTTCCTGGGCGTTTGATACTGGCTAGTTTAGATAACAGATCGGTCCT